GGAAGGACTTTAATTTTAAAAACTACATTTTACGCTATAACTATCTAAATTGATTTTATTTATAGAATTGATGAAACGATTTATAAACGAAACGTTTCCTGAAAATGCAAGATTGGCGGTCATTTTCACCAATCGAACGACGTACCCACGTCGGGGTAGGACCCTTGGTCAGGTGGGGTATCAAAGGGAATGGTGGGGGGTAGTCAACCATCGATGGAGGGGTAGTAACAAGGTCATAAGGATTATGGACATTTTCCCTGAGGTGGGCTGGAGTTTGCTACGTGAGTAAAAAAACAAAGAGGTCGGTATGAGATGGGATGAGGGTAACCTGGAAGGTTGGGGGTTGAGGGGGATGATGGTGAGGGAATGCCGTTGGTGGTCAACCTACCCCACCCACCCCTACCCCTACAAATCAGCGGAGTTACCCCATCGGAGTTCCTCATACCCCCCTTTTCCTCCTCAAAAGTTGACGTGCAAACGGGGTGAGAGGGAGGAATGAAGGGGTAGTGTTTGACCATCGGGGTGGTGGTGGTGAGGTAGGTCTGAAGGGGGGAGGGTTCACGTCTGATATGGCTGCAGCCATGCCGGAGACTCCAACGAGGTATGGAGGTGGAGCAGGGTTCTCCTCCTCCTCCTCCTCCTTTAGAGGGCCAGGATTCTCTTCATCCGGAGGAACTGCAGGGTTCTCCTCCTCCTCCTCCACCACCACCACCACCACTCCATCTCATGGCATGTCCTCCCCTTCTCCTGCCAACGTTAACAACGCAGTCGGCACCTTTGCCCCCCCCCGCAGAACCTCGAGCTCCGACGGTTCTCAAACGGCTCGAGCGCATCCACCACGAGCATCGATGCCGTCTGCTCAGGGGCGGCTGCAAGCTAGTAACTCCTGCGTCAATCGCGCTAGAATGTCCTTGAGAGACGTTGCGGGAGGGGTAGCAAGCAAAGGCGGAGGGCTGACGCTGAGTGAGAGCATCCGAAATAGCGGGCTGGTGCTGGAAGAGCAGGAGCAGAAGATACGACGCTTGAACGATCAGGCAGAGGTAAAGTAATTGTTGGAGCAAGGAATGCCATGTTTGTATGTTGTGCTGCCGGGCAGACCTGTGCATGATTTGGTGGCAAGCATGACGCTGTGAAGTTGGCCTTCTTTCTCACATCATCGCTTGCGCAGGAGCTGTCTGAAAGGCTCACAGCGAAGGAACAAGAGATGCAAACGATGAGCTCGGTGTTGCAGGACAAAATATCTTTGAAGGATAAGGAGCTTGAGGGTCTAAGAGAAATTGCACGAGCATCTGAGATGACGATACGTGGGCTAGAGGAAGAGGTGAGCAGCTTGAATGTCGATATGATTTGCTGAACCTGTCGTGAGCAGATCAAGCTTCTTCGCAAGCAGAACAATGAAATAGACAAGCACTGGCGCCAAAATTCTGAGAAGAACTTGCGGGATGAAGCGAGTGCCAGGGATCGGTCCAGCAACGGAGATGCTGAGAAACTAGCAGCTGCCGAACAGCAGCTCCGTCAGCTTCGGAAGCAAGTGCAGCAAGGCGAGATGGAGGCGAACGAGTTGAAACAAAGGCTGTTGGCCCTTGAAGGCAAATCAGTGGACAAGGAAGGCAGCCAGAAGGCTGAGAAGGCAAAAGAGAAGATCGCGGCCTTGGAGAAGATAGTCTCCCAACGTGAAAACGAAGCGAAACAGCTCAAGAGTGAGATATCGAAGCTGAAGAGTGACTTGTCGAACAATGATGATAAGAAGAGAACAGAAGCCCTTGTGAATGAGCTGAAGGAGCAGGTCAGGGAGGCGAATGAGAAGGTTGAACGGGCGGGGCAAGAGCACAAGAAGGCAACAGAAACGCTGATGAAGGATCTTAAGGAGGCAAAGGAAATGCTCTCATCTGAGAAGAAGAACTCGACCGATCTGATCGCCTCCAAGGCTACGCTGGAGGAGAAGTTGAAGGATTGTCAACATCTTCTTAAGACCTCTCAACAGCAGGCCGAGAGTATAGAGAAAGAGGTAAAGTCGAAGAAGCAAGAGCTAGAGAGCGTTCTCTCCTCCTTGAATCAGAAGGATAAAGAGTTGAAGGAACATCAGGCCTTGATCGCTTCGCTGAGACAACAGCTGAAAGAGGAGGACAAAACCAGTTTGCATGAAGAAATGAAGAACCTCAAGGCCGAGTTGGAGAAATCAGAACGTCAGAACAAGGATCTGCTGCTGGCTATGAATGAAGCCGTATCGTCTGCTGAAGAGAACAAGAAGAGGGTTATCGAGCTGCAGACAAACTTGAGCTCGGCGGAAGAGAGCCTGTCCAAGGCAGAGGCGACCATGGTGGAGATGAAGAAAAAGCTGACGCTCCTGGAGGCGTCCGATTCCGAATCTCTGGCTAGACTTTGCCGTAAGTGGGAGGCAGAGCGAGAGGATGTGGGAGAGGAGGGGGAAGGGGAGGGCGGAAGCCGATGTTGATTTGATTGCAGGCATCCGGGAGCTGGAGGCGGAGGTCAGGACAGAGCGGGGGCTCCAGGAGGAAAAGGCAACCATGCTGTACAAGTCCAGGGAGACCTGTCATGAGCTGGAAGCAAAGCTGAGAAAGGCTCAAGAGGAGCTGGACGCTTTGCGAGCGAAGGTGAGGGGCTGGCGGAGTGAGGGCGGCGCGTGAAGGCTGAGCAGGCTGAGCAGGCGGAGATGCCAGCAGACGTGAAAGCGAAGATGGAGGAGCTCGAAAGCCTTAAGGAGAAGAATGCTTTACAGGTGCTCCTCCCTTCTTCCGCTCCCCCCACCCTTCTTTCTTGACTTCACCGCCGCACGCACCCTTCCCCCTCTTTCCCTTCCTCCTCCTGCCAGCCCCCCTCCCCCCCGCTCACTTTGGTGCAGTTGCAGATCCACAAGATTCAGATGCTGCTGAGGATGGCAGAGATCACGAAGCTCGAGGAGTACATCAAGTGCTCCCGCAAGTGCGACGCGATCAAGGAGGAGAAGCTCGGGCTGCTGACGTACAATCTCGCGTCTGCCGAGAGCCAGATCTCGGGAGAGAGCGAGGAGGCGACTAAGAAGCGGCACGCGGTGAGGGAAGAGAGGATGGGAGTTCTCAACAAGAAGCAGAAGGCGGAAGAGGAGAAGATCAAAGTCAACGAGGAGAGTTTCAACACTCAATCTGTACGCCTCAAGGAAAAGCTCAAAGCGTTGGACTCACAACTCAAGGGCCTGGCCGGTTGATGGCAACAGCAAAAGAAGTGTCAACCTTGCCTCCTCACTCCCTCTCCTCCCCTCCGTCATCCCTTGCCCCGACTCCTTCCTCTTGTATCTATCAGCCTCTTCGTTCCCTCCTCACTCCCTCTGTCACTGTAACAATCCCTCCTCCCTCCCCTTGTGTTTTTCTACGCTCCCGATGCCCTCTATGTAGACTAGATGTAAAATTTCAACGATGGTTAATTCTTTGCTTCAAGATCAAGACTATCAGATTTCATCTGCACAAGGCCATCACAAACACACACGATCGCTATCATACCTCACCTTCATCGCCGTCTACAACTATCTCCTCAACCTCCAAGTCATCGGAGTCTGATGTCACTGCGTCGTTACCTTCCTCCTCGTTTCCATCGTCGCCAACGTACTCGATCCCATCAGCGTTCTCCGCCTCTCTCAGCATCTGCTCTCTCCTCCTCCTTTCCTTCTCTCTCTCATCCTGCTGCTGCTCCTGCTTACCTCCTTCCCAGGACTTGCTCATCTTTCCATCCCTACCCACATTCACTCTATTCTTCTTCTTGTCTGCTCCTCCCTTGGCTTCAGCTCTCGCTCCTGCTCCTCCTCGAGCCTTCACCCTCCTCTCTGACCTTTCTTCTTTGAGATCTTTCTCTTGCCCCCTGCTCTTGCTCTGCTTCGTTATTGGCTTTCTCTCCGTCACTTTCGGATGTTTCTTCAGCTTGGCGAGTTTGGTCTTCTTGCTGATGACGTCATCTATGAACCCTCCCAAACTCTCTTCGCTCCATTCGCCCCCCTTGTACGATTTACCCGAGAAACTTTTCTCTCGAGTTTTCTTCTCCTTCCCGTCTGGATTCATTTCCATGTAAACCAACCTGGCAAGACAAAGTAAGAACATTTGACAAGAAACAATCAGATATGAAAGATCAGCGCATAGACCAAGAGACAACATGTATACACGCGCCAATCCATCCATCCATATACCGTCACATACATCACATCAGCACATACATCGCAAACGTCACATCATAACATGCATGCACCAACAAACATACCTAGGTTTCCCGTTGCTCACAGGAAGAGCATCCTCTAAAGAGAACTGAAGCTTGCGGCTATCTACCTGCACGAACGCGATCCCTCGGAACTTCGGAGCTAAGGAGAGAACAACAGCCCGCTCCTGCCCTGAGTAGTTCCCATCATGCAGAACGAGAGCGCACTGCTTCCTCCTCAGACACTCTTCCCTGCCATGATCGCCTTCAGGTCCTCATGTTCCTCCTCACTCCTCCCTCACCTGAGATCCTCTTGGTTACTGATGTTCGATACCACAACTGCTGTCGTGTTGACCGCGAACTGGACGACAAAGTCCGACGTGACGTGCGATCGGATTGTGAATGAGCGAGGGAGACGCTTGTTGGCCACTATGAAGAACAGGGGGTCATGGAGCTTCTTTCCCTTGAAGAACCTTTCTACCACCGTCTTCCCCGACGGCAACGTCCCGTTGCAGTCCATAGCAGCTGGGGTGATGCTGGACTCGACCAGGCCGGCCGATGCGTCCACAAATGTCTTGTGGAGAGGCTCGAGGGGTCCTGCGCACTGGACGAAGTAGGGGTTCCCGCTAAGGAAAACTTCGTGAACCATGGCTGCGTCGTCGGTCTCAATGGTCTGGATCCCCGTGAGATCTCGCTGCTGCGTGCTGGTCCTCTTCATGACGTCGAAGAACGACTCCTCGATCTTCTCCTGCTCTCTCCTCAGCATCCACAAGAGCTTCGTCAACTCCCTGCTCGACCTCTCCCTCTTGTTCTCCCTCACGCTATTCAGCTCCTTCGCTATCTCCTCGCTCAGCCTGATCACTCCCTTCATCTCGTCCTCGCACTGGAGCTTCCCGTCGTCCTTGCTCTTCTTGCTGCCATAGAACGCCGCTGCCTCTCCCACCATCGCCCCCACCATCGTCGCTACCATCAACGTCACCATGAGCCGCCTCATGTTCCCCATGCCCGAACTACTACCCCTACCCCCTATCAATCGATATTTTGATGGTCACCGGTGCGAAAACTAGATAGACGGGGAAAGTAGACCCCTTCATGTATAACCCCCACCCCGTTCAGTCTCTTATAAGGGGGGCGATGAATGCATGGGCGAGCGAAGAGGATGCATGGTGGTGGAGCTTGTGGAAGCCCGGGATGCTGGGAGCGAGACAGGAGGAGGAGGAGGGAGACGAGAAGATAGAGAGGGCGCGGAAGGAAGAGGAGAAGAATAACTCATCATCACATGCACCATCTCATCAAGATCAACAAGGCTACCACCACGAGAGCGACGATAAGCGTCTCGATGTTGATCATGGTACGAGCCGTCTGATGAACATGGCGGATCGCTAACGCCTTGTCCTCTTTCCCCGCTCATCAGCATCAAGGGGATACGACAACTGGATAGCCGTGCAGTCAGTTCAGTCCCATTCGTCCGAAGGAACTGAGACAGACTTCGATAGGCACTCGGGATGGGGAGTAAGTCAGAGAGGAGGAGGAGGAGGAGGAGGAGGAGGAGGAGGAGGAGGAGGAGGAGGAGGAGGAGGAGGAGGAGGAGGAGGAGAAGGAGGAGGAGGAGGAGAGGGAGGAGGAGAGGGAGGGTACATGGTGATGCTGATTGTGCAGACGCATCCGGGAACAGTGTGTCCTCTTGTTCATTGTCCTGAAGAAATCTTCGATGAGATCTTTGAGCTCGCTGCGCTCACTGATACCGATGTTCTTCTGGACGTTGGTTGCGGTGATGGCAGGTATGCGAGTGCGGTAGGTCGGTGATGGTAGGAGAAAAGAAGGAGATGGAAGAGGTGGACGAAGGAGATGATGACGATGATGGCCATGGCCATGGCTATGACGATGATGACCACAATAATGATGATGTTGATGATGTTGATAGGGTTGTTCTCGCCGCTTGTCGTCGAGGGGCACGAGGCATCGGAGTAGACATCAACCCTGCTCTCGTCCGTATCGCTCAGGTCAGCCCGAAAGTTTGCGACGGCAAACTCTTGACTTGCGATGAAGAAACTTGCGCAAGAACAAGGGCTGGAGTCACGAGCGACCTTCGAAGTTGTTGACATGATGAAGTTGAGCCTCGACGATCCGATCTTGACCTCAGTGACAAAAGTGAAGCTGTGATAAGTATTGGTGACAAAGTTTGATGCTCACTGTTCAGGTCTACATGTACTTGCTGCCAGAGGTATTGCAGGTAAGGATTTTCCTCCTTGATGAATGTGTCTTCCACTTGCGAATGCTGCGATCAAAACCCTTCCAGCATCATCATCCATCACCACCACCACCATCGTCAACCATCATCATCATCATCATCATCATCATCATCATCATCATCATCATCATCATCATCATCATCATCATCTCCATCATCATCATCTCCATCATGATCCTCCTCCTCCTCCTCCTCCTCATCATCATCATCATCATCATCATCATCGTCATCATCATCACCCCCAACAATCACACAATCATCATCGGGAGATATCATAGTTGTCACATCATCATCATCATCATCCCTCCTCTGCTCATGAACTATTTGCTCTACTCACACGATCTTGAGGCAATGGATCCGATCATTCAGCATCTGCTTGCTCGGGGGGTGCAAGTGATCACGCTGAACCATCACCTAGAGGAAGAGGCGACAAGCAGCGGCTTGTGCGGAGCCTTGAGACTCTACAGTCACAGGGGGGAGGATGAGAGAACGAGAGGGGGAGGAGGAAGGCAAGGAGAGGAAAGGAGATGAGGAGAGAGGAGGAAAGGAAGCTGAGGAGAGAGAGAGGAGGAAACAGCGATTGGAGGAGCAGGCAGACGTCGGATGAAGCGAAGAACAAGATGTAAGAGTTGGAGACATGTGAAGGATCTTGAGCGTGTTCAACATGTACTGCAAACTTGATTATCAGCCTAAAGCTCACCCTGTGCTCAAACTGAATCCTCCTCCTGTAAACCGCTGGCCTCCCGGCGCCTGATGGACGGGAAAACCTTTGCTGTCCCTCTCCCCCGTTGACTTGGCCAACTGTACAGCAGTGAGTAAACGGAGAACGTCGAGGAGGACGGAAGGTGGTTATGGTGGTGAGGAGGAGAAGGAGGAGGGAGCGGAGGAGGAGGTGGTAGAAACCATTCTCACCTGCTCTCTTCTCTTCTGCTCGTAGTATCTTCTCTTCACGTCTTGAAGCTCGCGCGTGAGCCTCTCGATCTCGAACTTGTACTCGTTCACTTGAGCTTGATACATGTTGAGCTCCGACGCCATCGCCTATCTCCTGATCAGCAGCTGATCCTCTCCTCCTCCACACCATCCCAACCCCCACCACACACACACACCAAGAATGCATCTCCGTCTCCCAACCCTCCTCCGTCTCCCTTCCACTCTCTGTCTCCTCTCCTTTCACCTTCATCTGCCTTGTCTTCTCCCTCAAGTTCTGCTGGTAGATAGAGAGCTGTTCAGCCACCTCTGGCCCGGGCTGGCGAGCAAGAATGTTCTTGAGCTCCACATAGAGTTTCTCCTTCTCTTGAATCAGAAGGTCCTTCTCTACCACCTCCTCTGCAGCACCCGTCAGCACCACGACACTTTCGCATTGCTCCTCCCTTCTCCCTCCTCCACCCCTCTCCTTCCCGCCGTTGTTCCCGCTCACTGCTCCCTCCCCCACTCTCTCCAGCCGTCGTTCCCGCTGCCTCGCTGCTCCGTCCTCCTATCCTCCTCTTTCCCTCCTACCTGTCTTTGCGATCAGCCTCTTCTGCAACGTCTGGATCTTTTGAATCATCTCCAACGTCCCGGGGTCGCTCCCTTCCAACTTCCTCCACCTGTGCACATTCATAGGGTTCTCCAGCTCCTCGCTCAGCGCCTTCACTTTCGTCCTCTCCGACAGCAGCTCGCGCTGCAGGTGGTAGACTTCATTCCTCAGCACGTCGATGTTGGACGTCTGCTGCTTCAGCATACCCAACTTCCTCTTCAGATCGCTGATCTTGAGCTTTAGCATCCGGATGTCCTCTAGCCTCTCCCTGTACTGCACCTCCCCCTTGTTCAGTGTCGACTGTTGGATCTTGATCTTTTCATACAGCAGCGCCAGCTCGTCGTTGCGGCGGATCAGTTGTGTGCCCAGGATGTCTCGCTCGTTGATCACCTGGTCATATTCTTTCTTCATCGCTCCTCTCTCCGCATCGGCCTCGCTGATGATCTTGTTCAGCTTGTTGATCTCCGACGCCTGCCCCGAGATCGTCTCCTCCCCGTCCTGCACCTTTTGCCGCAGCTCCGTGAGCTCGTTCTTGAGAGCTTCCAGCTCCCTGTCCACCTTCTTATGGTCAAAGTGCTCCTTGACCAGCGCGTGGTCCTTGGCCTGTATCTCCTCCTTCAGCTGCTCAATCTGGTGGTTCATGATCTTGAACTTCCTCTTCATCTCATCGATCTCGTCCTGGGCCTCGATCAAGTTCTTCGAGTAGAGGTTCCTGTCCGACCGGACGGCCTCGTACAGCGCCTGCTGCTGCTTCAGCTTCTGCTCTCCTTCCTGGATCGTCTTCTGCAAGTCGATGATCGTCATCTGCCGGATCTTAACCTCCTCTAGAGCCTCCAGGTACTTGGCAGTGGCGTCAGACGCCTGTTGCCCGTACTTCTCCCGCTCCTTCTCCAGCGAGTAGATGATCTTTCTCTGCTTCTGCGCCTCCGACTTGAAGCCTATGATCTCTGCCTCGAGGTTCTTCTTTGTGTTCTCCTGCACCTTCACCAAGTCTGCCTGCTTCTGGGTTGCCGTTTGAGTCTTCTCTGTTGACAACCAAAGTCAGCCGCCGCTTTAAGTCTCGAGGACGAGGATGACAGGAAGAGAATGGGACAAGAAGGAAAAGATGGGACAGAGAGGAGATTAAGACAGGGACAGCAGGAGGAACAGAGGAAGGAGGGAGGAGGAGTCAGACTCACTCAAGTTGCTCTGCAGCAGGTCCTTCTCTCTCGCCATGTCCTCGATGTTCTTCTTGTCCACCTCGATCTGCTTCTGTTGGATCTCGCTCTCCTTCACCAGCTTCGAGATCTGCCCCTTGAGCTCCTCCTTCTGCACCTCCACATCATGCTTCTTCTGCTCTACCTCCTTGATCTTCTTCAGCAGCCCGTCCTTCAGCCGCGACTCCTTGGTTGCTGCCGAGCGCAGACGGTTAATCTCGTCCTCCTTGGACTTGATTTCGATCTGCCGGTGGGCGTTCTCAGCCAGCAGCTGGGTGTTGGTGCTGATCTGCTCCTCCAGGTCCTGCTGCAGCTTCTGCGTCTTCTGCGTCAGCAGATCGTTCTCCTTGTGCGCCTTCTGAACTGTCTGCTCGAACTCCTTGATCTTCGTGTCAAGCCGCTGCAGCTCCTCCTGGCCCTTGGCGATCGCCTCCTGCTTCGCCTTCACCTCCTCCCCCTTCTTCTCCAGCGACGACTTGATCTCCTTGATCTCCTTCTCCAGTCGCTCCTTCTTGCGGACTTCTCTCTCCACGTCGCTCTTGCTCTTGTTGATCTGCTCCTTCAAGGTCATGATGTCTGCCTCGTAAGCCTGTTTCTCTGTGTCCAGAGTCCTGCACTTCTCCTGCAAGTCCACGATCTCGTTCCTCGCCGTCACGAGCTGCTGCGTCAGGTTGTCTCTTTCTGCTGTCAGCTCGTCCTTCTGCTTTGTAAGCTCGTTCACAGTGTTCTCCTGCCCCAGCGTCAGCCCAGCCCCTTGCTCCACGAGCCTGCTGAGGTTGGTGATCTCGAGCTTGAGCTGTTGGATGGTTTCCTTCGCTCGCTGCTCCTTCTCATGGGAGGCATCAACCATCTTCCAGGCCTTCTCAATCTCCTTCTTGAGCGAGGCGATCGTGTTCTGATCCTCCTGCGATAACTTGAGCGCTGTCTGGACCTTGGCCGCGTTCGCAACGATCTCCTGGTTGAGCTCGCGGCATTTCTTGATGAGCCTCTTCTCGCTGTCGTGTGACTTCTTGAGAGCTCGATGGAGCTTCTCATACTCCACCTTGAAGCGCTCAAGAGACTTGTCTCCCACAAGATCCTGCAGAACTTCCTGGAAGTCTCTCTCCAGCGCCTCGAACGCGCTACCCTCCAGCCCCATGTCGTCCAGACCATCTTTCTTGTCCGTCATCTCGTCGCCTTGACTTCAGCGTTGGGTCTCGTGCTCTGCGCTCTGGCCTCTGCAAATTAATCCTGCATGCGTCTTCCAATCCTGGAACAATCTAACAGTCAGTCACGAGCTCAGAAACCTATGAATTCTCTCTAAAGCACTTTAATTATATCGGGACAGACTCTCTAGTTGTCACAAAGACAATCATTCAGTATATTCTTATGGCACAGATAAGGCAAGTCTTCAACTGAATACAATCTCATAACTGCCTCTTTCGGTTTCAAGTTTTGCACGCTATCATCGCACAATACTCCTCCACACCATCGCCACAACAATGAGGCACGAAACCTTGCTCCACACACAAGATCACATGATGAGTCATCAAACAGTTTCCTCCATGTCTGCATGTTCTCAGTCTCTCTCCTCTCTCCTCTCCTTCTCTCCGCCTCTCCTCGCATCTTCACCCCCTGCTACTATACGCCATCCAACGGGAACTTGATTCCAACGCTGAGTACCCCCTTGGTTTGACTACCCACTTTGCCCCCATACCCCTTGGAATGTGAAGTACCTGGTTATTTGACTGCAATTCAGAGTATGATTGACCCCTACATCCAACGCAACACATGCACCCTACCATGTAAAATCATGACCCCACCCCTGATCATCCACACTCGCAACCGCACCAACTGCTATTGCCGTTACGAAAGTCGTTTTTGTTAACGAAGTCTATAACGGCTTTTGAAATGAGACCATCGGGCAGAGTTTTGTTACTTGCACGGAAGGAGGGAGCAGGAGCAGGAGCAGGAGTAGGAGCAGGAGCAGGAGCAGGAGCAGGAGCAGCAGGAGCCGGAGAAGGAGCAGGAGTAGGAGCAGGAGCAGCAGGAGCAGCAGGAGCAGGAGCAGCAGGAGCAGGAGCAGGAGCAGGAGCAGGAGCAGGAGCAGGAGAAGGAGCAGGAGCAGGAGCAGGAGCAGGAGCAGGAGAAGGAGCAGGAGCAGGAGCAGGAGCAGGAGCAGGAGCAGCAGGAGCCGGAGAAGGAGCAGGAGGAGCAGGAGCAGCAGGAGCAGGAGCAGGCATGCAGAGATAAAAGAGATGAGACAAGATCAGGCATGCAGAGATAAAAGAGATGAGACAAGATCGGAACTTTTATCCTTAACAACCTCCTGATCGCTCTGCCTTTTTGCTCCTGTAAAAACTCATCATTAGCACTGTTTTCACAGGATTTCTACCTGCATGATTGATTAGTCTTGCAACATGGGAGTGCTATACCTTTTCGTACGTGACGGAAAAGTCTTCATCCCTCCCTCCTTTTGGAAGGTTTCCTGGTTCAGTGCAGGTACAGCAACTCTTATGCGAACAGGAGTCTTCCTCATAATTCCGCATTTTGTCTGCAGGCGGCAGCTCCGGGGTTCGGCTATCCCTCAGCCGGCTGTCTGTTTGCGTCCTCGCCTTGTGGTCTCTAGGCGCCATCATTTTTTACGAGCTCGAGCAAGAGTATACGTGCGAGGATGCAGGTGAAACTTTCAAGAGCGCTCGGGAGTGCACCAAGAAGGTCAAGCTGTTCGATGCGTTTTATTTCGTGTTTATCACACTCACTACCATCGGGTATGGCGATGTCGTGCCGTCCAGCGTCTACAGCAGGTTGTTTGTTCTTGTGTTCACCCTCCTTGGCCTCGGGCTCTTCAGTACCTTTCTGGATGTCATGGGAGCATGGCGAACGAGCATGCTCCAGCAGCTCAAGCAAAGCGCTTCCTTCGGCGACTTCCTTGAGGCCACCATCGTCCTGCTGGTGGTGCTGGGTGCTGGCACGATGGGGTTGAGTTGGATCGAAGATCTTGAGCTAGTGGACGCGCTGTACCTGTGCGTTACAACCGTGACGACTGTGGGGTATGGTAAGAAGCAACAAGTTCTTGTGCCATGTAGAATGATTGTGGTTGCCCTTCCCTCGTTGACGCAGGTGATCTCAAGCCTGTAACATTCTGGGGGAGAGTGTTTGTCATCATGCTTGCCATGTGCTCTATCAGGCAAGCTTTTATGGCTGTGAGCTGTGTTTGTAACGTGAACCAGCACCATCGGGTATGTCACTTCATGTATCGGAGATCTCATCCAACCGGATTCAGACACTGCCGTAACCGTCCGATCAAGTGGCTGGCAAGTTTGAGTTTCCATTGCTAGATTGGATTTGGTGGAGATGAGACGCAGTGGAACTTGTCATTTCTCGATCGCTTCTTCGGCAGGAAAGTGAGTTGTGTGGTCAGGTTACGAGCTCCTTTGTTTCCTCAACTTGCATTATTTGTTAGGGCGGAGAGAAAGAATTTTCACTTTCAGCCTCTTGGAAGATGAAGTAAATACAGCAAAACCGTTGCGGAAATTTGGCCTAATAGTTTGCCTTCAAGATTTTTCTTGTTTTCCAAGATCTTTCTTCTCCTCTTCTCTTCAGTTCTGGGTGACAACGCATATATTCTTGTCTCTTTTTCAGCTGATTGGTCTCTCAGTCATGAGATACTTTGAGCCTCACATGGTATTCTTCTTTCATTCAGCCAAAGTGACGCCAAAGTGACGCTACCAAAGAGTTTCACCGATTGCTTCTACTGGAGCGTGATGACATTCACTACTATCGGTAAGACCACATTCTTGACCATCCTTGTTTTATGATTCTTGTGTTTCAGGTTACGGAGATTTTGCACCTTTGTCGACCGGAGGGAAGGTAATAGAACTCACAAACCAGCTGAACATGTCGACTGGAGTGGATGAGCTGGACTGGTAGATCGCTCAGGTCGTCCTCTGTTTGCTGGGGTTGGGTCTCTTCTCCGTCTATACTGGAGTACTCGGCGAGTGGAGGAAGAGGTGGTTTCAACTCTCCCTTGACCATATCAGAGTAACTTCATGAGCCTCAGTATGAGCAACAAGAGTGTGTGGAACGAAAGTCTGCTAGGTTTGATTCACCGCTAGTCCTGTGATCTACCGCTCATGCCACAGGCAAGGATTGCAAGCGATATTCATAGCAGGGATGTTGGTCTTTCATGTCGTAGAGGGACTTTCGATCAGTGAGAAACAATAAGCGGTTCACGCAAAAGTTCCTTGACGTTTCTTTGGGAGCAGATGATTCCTGGTATCTGACTTTCTGCTCAGTCACAACCATAGGAAAGCGTGTCTCATTCTCTTCAGTCAACGATATACGAGTTCCTGACGGCTAGCATTTCTCATTCAAACAGGTTATGGCGACCTGTACCCCAAAACGACGCTCGGCAAACTTTTGACGTGAGTTGCATCTGTCTCGTGCTGTAACTCATTCAATGGTCAGTTGCCTGCTGGCTTGTTTGAGCATCTCCGTTGTCGGCTTCGTGTCCTCAACTATCGGAGATTTGATCCAGGTAGAGCAGAAGCCAACTGATATAACAATTGTGACACCCGTGCAGGAGACTCTTTGTGCTGATTGGCGCAAGGTGAAGGATTCCGACAAGAAAGATTAAAGATGAGGGTTCAGTCAAAAAATTATGAGAGAGAAGGAAGTTCGCAACGAAGTGATCAGAAGGCGTTATACGTTCTACTTCGACGAATTGTCTTTCTTCGCCTTGGCTTTGCCGTCCTGATGGGAGTTCAGCTCGACAGTCACAAACCTATTTCTCACTTCACCTTGTCCTTCTCTTCCGAGGATTCTTTGGAGTTTTTGTCCTGCATCACGGTTTCATCAGGACTCCACTGCACATAGATTCATTTGAATAAATACTTTTTCGTTCTTTTCTTTGCCGGCCGCATCGTCTGCAGATTCGTTCTCCGCATCCTTCAATGCGATCTTGTTGTTGATCAAATTGTGAAGGGCAAGGACTGAACGGATCAAAGAGGAAATATAGATGACCTGCAGATCGAAGTCATGACGACTGTTAAACATGAGTTCACAGCACCAGCATCATATCATTCGTCTTGACAGAGAATGACCTGACCAACTCTTCCACGTTCAGATTGGGCAACAGATTGAACACCTCCTGCATCCCATTCAGCAATAACTACGAGCAAAGCAGCAATGAACCTGCATGAGATACGTAATTTCATGATTTACAGGCATGCTTCCATCGGCAACAAGCTTCAGGTAGGCATGAATGTCTTCGAGTCGAGCCTAATTCATCAAATCAGAAAACATTTTTTGGACTTCCGTTCAATATATTACCTTCAATCCTTTTAGAGAGTTCAGTTTTGAGTGCACACGCTCGGCTAGGGTGCTGACCTAAAGTCGCAAACGTCAATTTTTATCCAAACAAACAAGGAACTTACTGAAGCATCCTTGATGTCTCGCAATAAATGCTCTACACCAATCTCTTCAGCTTCTTCCGCTCCAATTTCACTACACGACAAGCAATTCAATACAAAAGAAAAAGAAGAAAAAGACATTGAAACCTTTGGAGATGTTGAAAGGATCTCCTGGTAGGGGTGCCGTCCTGTAGGACAACCCTTTGAGAACTTGGAATCCAATTTTTCAAGACAACTCACGTCCTTGACTTCCTCGATCGAGATGTATGCATCAGTTGGAATGTCTAACTCATCCTTGGGCTGAACATTGATGATGACCAGAACTGGATTCTTGGTGTATTTCTTGAAGACTTCGTTGATTTCAAGATCTGAAGCTCTGATTTTAGGACCAGTACTGTACCATCCAACTATCTTTTCACGTGCTAAAGGATAAAAAGGTCAAAACTATCCAAGATTGTTAAGTTGGGTACCGTTCACTTTCTTGAACATTCCAAACATGTTTTCCAAGTAATTGTGATCAAGAAACCAGATTCCGGGATTATTTTCATCCTCTTCGAAAGGCAACGCAAACTATTCGTGATATTTACAACGCCAGCTTGCGAATACTGCGAAACACATCATTACTCAGTCAAACAAACGACATTCCAGAACCTGGTTCTCGTGGGTAGACAGCCTCCATGAGTCACGCTCCCCCGCTATCTCTCTTGCTCCCAGAAGCACTCCAACCACGCGCTTGTTTGTATCCTGTACATGCGCGATCAGTGATCAGATTACAACTAACAACTCTCTCATGAGCTGATGATTCGCATCACCTTGGCGACTCGCATGTAGTGATCGGTCGCGGACAGCAGAACCAGCGGATGAACTATCGCACACGAAGGGAACAATGGCGGAGCTGCTGTTGCTAATCGAGGAACGTTTCAGCGAAGGAGAAGAAGAAGTTTGATGTTGGAGAACCTGGCGCATTCTGCCCCGAAGACTGGTTCGCCATCTCGTTGAGAAGCCCTGTTTCCACAGCAGTCAGCCAGTTGGAGACAGTGAGGACGATATCTCATCATTGATATGATTTTTGATAAACGGACATCGGACATGCAGGAATAATGAAAGATAATAGGAGCTAGTTGTCTTTGGAACCAATCCTTGTTTTAAAACATCCTTCTTGTGGGATCAATCACTTTCTGTCGCTCTAGAATTTCTCCCCTCTCTTTCTTCGTCTCTCATCTCGTCAATTCATTGATATTCATCTTGCATGCTTCTGCTTCGCTGCTCAATGCCCCCCTCCCCCTCCCCCTTCCCTTCGCTCCCTTCGCCTCTCGCTCCTTCCATAGCAGGGACAGGTCAGTCTTTCCCAATTAGTCAACTCTCTATAAATTGATTTAGCTTGTGAATAAATTAATTGGCCAGCTAACTTGATTTCAAAAAGCAATAGTGGGGGCCGAACCATGCCTGGGCGTCGGATATCACAGGGATCGATGGCGACATGGTTCGCGCTCGCAATGGCAGCGATGGTGATGATGGGAGAGCCGAGCCATGCTCTCCCTTCAAACTCCTTCCTGGGCAACCTGGCGAATCTCTATCACAAGAGCGTCGCCGTAAGCCCTCTTGCTACCCACTGCCTCCAGGGCGCAGGGATCGCGGGGCTCGGCGACCTGTGCAGTCAGTTCATTGAGAAAGAGAAACGTGTGAGCTCGGGAAGAATTGCAAGAGCATCGGCCACAGGCGTATTCTACAACGGCCTCCTCCTGCCTTACTACTACGACGCCATTCAGGGCGTCTTCCCGAGCCGCAAACCCGTGTTTGTGCTTATCAAGGTGCTGATTGACAGCTTCCTCTGGGGATTCTTTGGCAACTTTTCGCTCGTCGCAGGTATAAGTCATATCATTTCTCTCTTTGTGCTGATGTTGGTCTTGCAGTCCGACGGTATCTCGAAGGGTCCCCAGCAGTAGAATCAGTTCGATATGCTCAAAGTGTTATCTGGCCTGTCTTCAAGTCAGACTTCACTGTCTGGACCACCTACAACGCTCTCTGCTATGGCGCAATACCGCGAGAATATCAACCTCTTTCCACTGCTGTTGTGTCGGCGATGTGGTCTACATATATCAGCTTCATTTCGACCTCGGGTCTGCCGAAATGAAAGCAAAGCTGGAAGGCATCAGTTTTGTTGTTGTTTGCTGTATTGTTTTATGAGTTTAAGTGTAACTATCAAAGAAATTGCCCTTCGATTGTGTGGGATTGCTCGACCTTTGTTGCAGTATGCTTGCATGTGGAGAGTTGAGGCAAATCGTATCCATCGTACCGAGTCTATATTTGTGAAATCTCACTCATAGGTATAGGTAGTCCTTCGATGGGATGACTGGGGTAGTAGGTCGATACTCAATTCTTTCAGGAACAGCATCGAGCTCAAACTTTCAGTGAATAGCTTCTTCCTTCCGTCTGCCTGCATCACCGTTGCTGCTTCCTTGGCGCTAGCTTTCCACCTCCTTGAGCTCCTCGACTCTTGGGCTGGTTAGTATGGGATCACCGTCGTGAAGTCTTTTCCAGGGAAGCAATCCGGGGGAGGCTGAAGACATGTCAGTTGAGGGGGAGAGAAATAGACGCCTCTTCTGACCTCGATCTCAATGTAAGGTGCAAAGTCATAAGTGTATGACTTGGTGAAGTCTTGGATCAGAAGCTGAGGCGAACATGATTACGCAGGAGAAGAAAGGAGGAATAAGGACAGAAGGGTAGAAGTGAAGAGGAGACGTCGTCCCGTAAAAGAAACAATTGAGGCATGAGCGAGAAAAGCAAGAGCAAAGAAGATGGAAAGGAAGAGTTCCAAAGGATCCGTTTCTTGCCTTCTGTCCTGGAACGTGTTCGGCAGGAACAGTCAGCTTCCAACTATCGAGTATCGTCAGATGCCGAGCAACCCTCAGACCATGTTGTATTACTGTGACCCCGCAAAGTCGCTGCCCAAGTACACCTGAGCTGTCGTCATCGAAACTGACACGTCTGACATGCTCAAGTTTACACCTGCTGAGAGACTGGTACGGGCTTCAGCACCGTCTTCCTTGATGTTGGAGCAAGCTTTGCATTGTTCCACCTGCAGAGCCTCCTCAGGAGAAGAACGGCCGATCGATCATCTCACGGCCCATTGCCGAACGCATCTATGTTGAGACGCATCTGCTGAATCTCTGAATACATCCTATTCAAGCTCAGCACCTGTCTCCTCCTTCCACTCTTCTCACTTCACTTCCGAGCCAGCAATGGTCATCTCATCGAATGGAAGTTCATAGTTGTAGACAGGAGCAGATCCTCCTGGACCGTATTGCCCGCCCTGCAATTCAAACCTGAGATTTCTTCCCCTTGCTCACTTATCAAATTCTACTTCTGTGCTCGGGGAAAATCGACTGCCTGAAGGCCAAGCCTGTCCTCCAGCTTTCTTGAGTTCTGTGTGGGGTACAGTGTTGGACATTTCTATTCAACCCCTTAACCCTACCGCGTTGACTGTTTCTGATGATAATCTCCCTCCTTTCCTGGCATTGGAAACAAACATTAGCTTCCAAACAAGATTACTCATCTTCTACCTGCTGTAGTGCACATGTCGAGCAACACAGCGTTGTCATACAGTCGAGGCCAACGTTGGGCTGCAGGACACTCCAACGGTTGCACAACATGGGAAGCTGATCTGACCTTGATGTTGTACAACCGACGTGTAACACTTCTCAGCTTTGTGTGGTACAAGCACAACCTGTTGATGAAGCGCGTAGTCAAAGTGTTTTGAATCGATCGATTGAGATGCAAGCTCACAGAGGACATGCTAACCCAGCATACACCTTGTTTCCACTGCACGGAACGTCTTCAACGTAGATATCAATATCCTCTTGGGCATCCTAGATGCAATTGTTACACAAGATTGTTATTAGCCCAAGTCAATGGACATGAAGAGCAGAAATCCTATCCCGTAGCATCTCCGCATTGTACCCAAAGATCACGCAAGGACAGAAACAAGTCGAGAAAAACAGGTCAGCAGATTCCAGACAACCTTCTGCACGAGATCGAATCAAGTCAACCACTCTAATTGAGGTCAAAGAAATTCCAAACCAGGATGCGAAGTGAAGCTGAATAGCCCAGTTGACCATTTTTCTGCTTCGGCCATGACTCTTAGATGTCAGTTCTGGGGTTACAGTATCGCTTTCATGAGTGCGGCAAAGTTCTGGAAACAAAAAGTGTTACACCACTTCTTTTCACAAGTTGATTCCAGATGTGGTTTGAAAATCAAGAAGCATCTACCAACTCTCTCAAGTCTAAATTGTCCGCTTGCCCTTCCTGAGTAGCCTGCCTTGTATTGGTTTCGGAAGTTGTGCATATCCGCCGACGATGGTCCATTTGTTTTGTAAACAAGGGCATATCACCCGTACGCCCCATCTCTCCACCCCCTTGCCCATCTGCCCGTAAACTTTCTTTGACATTCACGTGAGATCCACGAGTTGAACTTTCAGCTGGAATCTCACTGAAGTATTCTCAGCTCAGAGCCTTCGCTATCTGACTCTCAGCCGGACTCCTCGTCCTTTCTGCCTCATTCCTTTGTCTCCTCCTCACAGGCTTTGTTGACAAGACAAGTTTGATGCCCGTTATCACCGCCGTAACGGCCAGTGAGGGCTGGAACCGTTGACGGACTCGTGACTCAGTAGTGACGGCCGCCGCGCGGCGGGCCGCCCCCGGCGGAGAGTTGCTTGAGGTCTTGGAAGTTGTATATAGCGGCTTCAATTGGTCTGCCACCGTTACTACGTGACTCTTCTCACAAGTTGTAATATTCCAAAGTTCTCTTACTATCGGTGATCTCTCAACTTCTTCCTTCCGCCGGGGCCTCAGTTCTCCCGGGCGGCACTGCTCACCAAGTTGCCGCGGTGGCCAATCTCCGACATTTACCTTTGATGGAACATATGCCAGCCGTGCCAGTCAGATAGCGCCGAGTTAACAAAAACTCTCCTGTAAACCAAGACGACTTACGTGGCGAGGCGGCATGTAGTACATGGAATGAAGAGGGGACTTTCCTAGCCTTCTTGCTAAGGTCCTCTCATGTCTGGATGCTTGGGTTTCACATCCTAGCATACAGTCTATCTCTCATGTGCTCCTCAATTCTGTTTTTGTGTGCATTAAACTCGGTCTTGAGCAAAAACTGTCTTGTTACAACTGAGGTCGATGTGATGTCTGCGTGACTTTGGACTAGTACAAGTCTAACAAACTTGTATTCCGTCAACCTTCCTATCCTTCAAGGCACTGTACTTCATAAACGAGGCTCTATCATGGCACTGCCGCTGATCGGCATTGAATGGTTGTAGTGGGACGAAGAGGGGGCTTTCCTAGCCGTCTTACTAAGACGGTCCCCTCATCAACGGTCCGATCTGGATGGCATGGGGTTCACATCCTAGCATACAGCCTATTTCTCATGTGCTCCTCAATTCTGGTTTCAAGCCAAGTTGTGTGCATTCAGTACTCGTAAACTCGGTCTTGAGCAAAACGTCGGACTCAGTGTCTTGTTACCGTACAACTAAGGTCGATGTGATATCCGATCTCATCAGCGTGACTTTGGTGACTAGTACAAGTCTAACAAACCGTTGTATTCCGTCACGATGATTCCGTCGCCCGGCCGAGTCCGACTCGACTGAGTAGCCTCACTGTGAGAGCGCGGCCGCGGCGTGGCACCGGGCCGGCCGGAAGTTGGCCGCGCCGGCGGCCCCGCGGCGGGGGCTAAAATCATCTACCGTGGCACCTACCGGCGTGGTCGGATGCCCGTGGATGCGAAATTCCGAAGTTCCAGATTTCAAAGTTTCAAGTTCTGGTAAGAATATCAGTTAAATTTAAATCTCATCACCAAAATTTGAACTTGGCACACTGCTACCCGGTACTCTATCGGACCTTCCGGTCAGGCTGCCAGCTGTGAGCGGCTCGGCTCGGTTTGAATTGAACAATCGGAGAGATAACGAAGTGACGATATTGACTATAGAACTTTCTAAGTCAGGTTGGGACTCCTCGATATTGACTACAGACTTTTAGTCACAGTGTTGTTCTTCTCTCAGATTTTGACTACATGTTCGATTTCTTGACTATAAAGCTGATTGTTTCTGTTTGTAAATTTGACTATAACACAATCATGTCTTATAGTCAAGGGGCCACAACTCGCCTGTTTGAAAATCCCGCCCTCCCCCGCCCGTCCGCAGCAGCATGCAGGTACCGAGCCCGTGCCATCGTTGCGCTTTCTAGTCGCAGAACTATGTGCTCTTCATGCTGTTTGATTCCTTTCATCTGTGTGTCACTTCCTGTGCAGCTGCTCAGCATTTGGAGATTTGGTTCTCTTGATGTGGTGTTTGCAGCAATTGCAGTGCCCCAACGGATGATCGATGGTCCATTCACATCTATCTCCTTTCCTGATGTTCTTTCATCAATTCGACTGTTTCCTCCTGTTTGAATGAATTTCTGCTTCGTGTCTGCTCCGTCCTCTCTTCCTAGCATTTCTCTTCACTGATACCTTTCACAGATTTTCGTGAAGACCCTTACGGGCAAGACCATCACCCTCGAGGTAAACTCCTCTGGCTGAAAGTGATCCACTGACTTGAATCAAGGTCGAGAGTTCAGACACCATTGATATGGTCAAGAGCAAGATCCAAGACAAGGAGGGTATTCCCCCCGATCAGCAGCGACTCATCTTCGCCGGCAAACAGCTCGAGGACGGCAGAACCCTCGCCGATTACAACATCCAGAAGGAGAGCACCTTGCATTTGGTTCTTCGTCTTCGCGGAGGCGCTGGAGATGATGATGAGAAGAGACCCAAGCGTGACAAGAAGCCCGTCGAACGCCTTGTCGCTCAACAAGCCCCTGAGCCCAAGAAGCGTGCCGCCAAGAAGAGTGATGCTGCTCCTGCCGCCAAGAAGGTAAACCGTTTCCTCTGCTCATGGCGAATCTGATGCAATCTTAAAAAGGGCAAGGGTGCCCCCAAGGAGAACAAGGAGAAGAAGGAAAAGAAGCCCCTCAGCGGCTACAGTGCGTTTGATCTCTTCATGATGTTGAATTTCTGACATCTGTCGCAGTGTTGTTCTGCAAGCACATGAGACCCGATGTCACCAAGCAGAACCCCGGCAAGGCTGTCACCGAGGTTGCCAAGATTCTTGGCGAGATGTGGCAGAAGGTGTCGGAGAAGGATAAGGCCTCATGGAAAGAAGGCAAGGTTCCCAAGTAAGTTCGCTGGTTTGCCTCACTTCTCAACCGCTGGACAACGATTTGTGGATATATCCAACTACACAATTTTGGGATTTTGGTTAACAGTGTTTGTTGGTACCTTGATTTCCAGTGATCAGTCACTTTGACACAACTAACTCTGAAAAGATAGTTTTGTTTTAATTAATAAATAATTCTTCCTTTCATTCGGGTCTCTTCCAGCCTTTCTGTTGACAGCACACCATGTCAACACCTCAGAAGCCCTTTGACTTCTGCCGTGCCTGCATAATCTTAGCAAAATACGTTCGGCTCCCTGCAGTAGATGGTCTAGCATTTGAAGTCTGAGGTCGTGGAGTGGGAGATTCGGTTTGACACTCAATAGCTTGTGTCTCGATCCTAGCAGAGATAGGCCTTTGGTGCCTATTGGAAAGATTGTCATCATTTTCAAAAGTGTTCTGATTTTGCTCAGTTGGTGATGCTGTAGATGCTCGACTAGCCGACGACTCGCACAACGCGACGGTACTCGAGAGCTTCACCGCATCTACTGCCGAAAATGGGATGGCCGCTACTGTCGCTGAAAGCTTCTTGCTTGATTTGACGAATTCTTTGACACTGTTCGCCCCTCGCAAGGCCCCTGCTCTGCCATTGATCCATACGCTGCCTGTTCCGTTCCTCTGGACCAAAGCACTTCGTTTTTTTCGCTCCTCTTCCATGCTCTGTTTCAAAGATCGGAGTTTTTCCTCCATCTCAAGCAAGTCTTTGCTTGTAGCTTTCCCCTTGATTACACTGACTGGTTTCGACATGTTTTCTCTAGGCCAGCGAGTAGTGCCAGCGATGCAGTCTCGAAGTCCAATTTGAGCAAGACTAAGGGAAATCAATTTCTCACAAAATGTTCTAGTGACCGATCTGATCCAGACGGTTATGCCAAAAATGCAAATCAATGTTCGATGCTTTCTTGCCCTTGAATTGCGAACACCTGCTCTTCGCAATCGCTCTCTTCCTCCACCAGTTCACTGATGTCGTTTCCTACGTTGAAGTCGCCGTTGTTCTTTCTACTCTACAGGTCTGCTCAACCCGTACTTGCCTGCCAGCTTGCTCTGGCCCTTCTTTCTGTTGGATCCTCCTCCTGATTTCACAGGAGACTACCGGGCACCCGGTCTTCTTTCAACCACGTGCCGGATTTGAGTTGGTGGGTACTTGTACCCACCCCATACTACCCTAAGATTATCCATGATTGTTTGGGGGTAGTTGAGGGATTTGAGGGTCCTGCACCGGCACTTGAAAAAGAGCTCGATAGAAGGGGGGTGGGGTTGTAAAGCCAACGGCAGGGCGGTTGATGGGTCACAGTCCCTCTTCCCCGCACATACCCACTATCGTTGTTTTCCGTTATACAACCGTTATTTGAATCACCGTTTCAAGACCGTTATCCATCCAACGGTTTGACCCATAAATGGAAGAAGCTGATTGCTCGCCGCAGGTGATCGTTTGTCCACGTGGGGTCGTATGAATAAGGCAACACTCGCAGCCAAAGGGGTGGGTCAAAACATACGGTTGATAGGGGTACATCAAAATTACCAGGGGTAAAACTAACCCGAAGGTCCCCGGGGGAAGTGGGGTGGGGGGTCGTCGTCAGCCTCCATATATGTGTCCGAGTGGTTGTATCCGTCTGCCCTCCATGGGTGGGGTGGGAAGACTACGATGAGTAGGTGGGGGTACAGGGACAGGGGTCTTGTTGAGCAACTACACGCGGAAAAGGACGGGGTCTTTGAACCTGCACGAGGGTATTGGAATATGAGGGTGGGGGTTATAGAAAGAAACAGGATCACTGGGGATGAGAGGGGTGGAGTGAAATAAGTGTCCAATTTCAGTGAGTATCCGACGAATTTGATGGGTATGGGTAGAAAATGTGGCATTCAAGGGGGTGATTTCTCTGTCAAGCAGAGGGTTGAGAAGTAAATTGAAGGGTTAAGGAAATATTTCCAGGGTACATGAAATGAGAGGGGTAGGCTGTGAAGCGGGGTAGGTAGTACCACCCCAGTATCAAAGAGCTATGTATAGTCCAGGAAGGTGGGTGGGCAAGGCGAAAGAGGCGGAGGATGCGGTGGATGGTTTATGTGCTGGCGGCGCATGCGATCGTTGCGATGGTAGACAAGGGAGAAGGAAGAAAGGGTGCAGCAATCGTGATTTCCACCCTCTGTCTACTCTGTCTCCTGTGTCGAAGTGATCTCGTTTCCTGGGCTTCACGTCAAGGATCGTTGGTGTACTACGGAGTGGATGGATTGCGTCGGTACCTTGAAGATAAGGGGGTCGCCTTTGTGGACGTTGGCATTGCGCTGTTCTGCTATGAAATGCTGGGGGTTTTGGTCCTGCTATCATTTTGGTTGGCATGCTTCGTAATGCAGCCTGTGAAACAGTGCTTCTTACAACCTATTGGGACACTGGTTGGGGTGACGCGGGATATATTCGGCCAGGGCTTTATGCGAACAGCCGAAGACTCTTACAAGCTTGTGCTAGAGAAAGTGCACTCCAAGTTTGCAGATATCGCTAAGCGGATGCAGGTGGATCCAGTAAGGCTAAGTACAGCATATGCGGAGGGTGCGATATGCCGGGGGTTGCTGAAACCATTGCTGGTTCCTATGAAACTTTACGGTGCATATTTGCTAGTAAGAGGGTGGAGACATGTCATGATGAACTTATCAAGCTTGCAAAAGCAAGTTTTATAGCTTCATTTTTTCATTCTTTCTTCCTCTAAAACCAATGTATATTTTTCTGTCCATACACCCCGAATAAACTTAGCTTTCGCATGAATGTTGTATTCACCGTTGGTGCCAATTCCAATCAGCTTCACACTGAAAGTGTGAGCTTATGGTGATGGCAAGATTGTGCCATAAGCGATGAGAAGTGTCTGGTATCCGATTCCTTTTCAAACTCTCGACTGTTTTCACTGCGAAATACAGCGTACATTTCTCATCTTCGCAAGGATTGACAGATACAGTTCAGCACCTTGGAAGGTAATTACGAGATTTATCAACAGTTTGTAAAGATTTGAGAAAGTCAACATCAAAATTAATGCGGCAAAGCGCAAAGCATATCACTGTAAGCGGACTAAAATCCTCGCTGGGATTACAATCATTCCTTGTTGGGCTTGTGATCACTCGAGATCCCTTTGCCTTCCCTGGTGGGGCTGAGAGTTTGTTAGTTCCAAGCCAGTTCCTTCACTGTCCAAGAAGCGCTGCAAGAACACCCGTTACAAATGCAACGGATCGGTGAGATAGCAAACCTGCCAGAGCCTGAGCAAACCCCGCTTCCCTGTGGAGGGAAATTCTGGTATGACAGAGCCAACTTCTCTGTCGCCGAGTTTGTCAAAAAACGTATCAAGTAGATCATTTTGAGATTGAACAGTTCCAACAACATCTCTTAGCCCATCCCAGAGCTCATCCCGCAATCGAAGTGAAGTGTCAGATGAAGGCATTAGACTACAAAGCAAAAGTCATGGTGTTTCAGAAACATGTTGAAGCAAAATCACCTGTTGACTGGCCTTGACATCACATACTCCGCGAGACGTTTTGCAGAACGGGAGAACGCTTTGCTGTTCTTCTCATCTAGGATGAATTGAATCATTTGCTCTACTGCTGGTCGGCTTTGGGTGCCCAGGAACTCTTTGACTTGTGGTCCAAGACTGTTGTCCAATGCGTCACGAAGAGCTTTGTTCACTTCCTGACGGATTGGACCGATGACCGGCAGCTGATTGACAATGTTTCCCAGGATATCAGCACGCTGCATGAACTCCAGGATCCCTGTGTAAAGGATTGCTCCCGCCATGGATTCTACTGCCGGTGTCCTCATGAATGCCTGTGCCAGCCAAATATTTCACAAGGTATCAACAATAAACAACGAATCAAACACAACATAAATCATTGTTGACGAACCTTCAAAATCGCAGGATCAATCTCAGAATTTTCAACTTGTTTGTAGATCTGAAATGTCCAACAGTGTCAGAACAGGCTGAAGGTAGAGCTGCAACCAAAGCCACACCTTGTTTGAGAAGTCAGCGGATAATATCTCATTGAGAGGTCTCTTCTCAGTACGTAGCCATTGGTCAATCTCTTGGTGAAGATCGTTAAACTTTTGCCTCTGATCTTTCCAGTACTGATCATCTTCTGACAGCTCCGTGAGGAGTTTCCTGACTTCCGCCTTGTCGAGAAGCTCGTTGAACGTCTGCCCCCTGACCCACAGATCCACCCGATCTACAACAGTTTCGGCTGATGCAGATTTCATCATTACATTGGAAGTTCTTCTCATTGTTCTGCAACTGCTACACTGATTGCTGCGCACTGAACCTGTTGTCCAACTAACTGTTGGCATCCATCCACGTACAGCAGTCGACAAGCAAAGGACGAAGAAGACAGCAGCTCTGCAAGAGAGCATACTCGTCGTCATGTTAAAAAATCTATCCTCTCTGCAGGAAAAATGTGTAAGCAATGCGCCATTCAACCTTGTTTCAGCAAACTGTTTCAAGAACACATGATTCCATGAAAATTCGACAATTGCATCCACGCACAAGTAACAATCATTTCACTTCAACCCCTTCTCACAATCCCTTGTCCTTCTGCATGCAGCTACGAATTCCCTAGCCCTTGTGACCCAACACTGCATTATGGGACACAACTAGCGCACCGTGCATGGCTGTCCTTTTGCTCATGTCGGCTTCACTAGAGGGTGGAACTTGTGGATCAAGCTGCTGCCTCCCTCAACACAACCTCGTCTACCCATCTTCCTCTCTCTTCTCCCGCCCTCGGGGTCTGCATCAAGCTCTACCCTCCTCCTCACCTGTCCTTCCTCCTCCTCCCTGACCCCTCATCCCCCTTTGGTCGTCTCATTCCAGCCCTCATCCCCACTCACTCGGCTCGGCTCCGGCAGGTCTCCGGGCCCCGGTCTTGGCCCAGTAAATGCTATGTACCTCATCCCCACCATTGACCAAATTGGATGACGGGGATCGATGGAGATGGTCTAGAGAGGTGAGTGGAGGAGGAGG